GACTGATACTAGTGGGGAAGCTGGGAGGGAGCCAGGGCTCTGGCATGGGGGGAGGGGAGCTGTGGGGGACCTGGCCTGGGGTAAGCGATGCTGGGTGGTATGAGGTGTGGGGAGACAGGGCCCTGGCATGGGGGGAGGGTAGCTGGGGGTGGGGGACCTGGCCTGAGATAAGCGATGCTGGGGGGTATAAGGTGGGGGGAGACAGGGCCCTGGCATGGGGGGAGGGGAGCCAGGCGGTACAAGGTGCGGTGTGGGGTGAGAGGGGCTGGGGCACAGGGTGAGGGAAACAGCGGGGCTGGCACGAGGTTGGCAGGCCCCAACATGGTGGGGGAACGGGGCATGAGGTAGGGGGTGCTGCGGGGGCCTGGCCTGAGGTGGAAGGAGCTGGGTGGTATGGGGTGGGGGGAGTCAGAGGGGACTGATACTAGTGGGGAAGCTGGGAGGGAGCCAGGGCTCTGGCATGGGGGGAGGGGAGCTGTGGGGGACCTGGCCTGGGGTAAGCGATGCTGGGTGATATGAGGTGGGCGGAGACAGGGCTGTGGCATGGGGGGAGGGAAGTGGTAGCAGACTGGCATGAGGTGAGAGGAGCTGGGGTGGGGGGTACAGAGTGAAGGGGAGTAGGGGGCACAGGGAGGCTGGACTAGAAAGCCCTGTCCTGGGGCGAGGGGTACAAGGTTGAGGGGCTTTCCTTGTCACAGTGTTTGGCTTTCTAGCACAGGGGACGTGCCTGTCCGAGGGAAGCTGTGTCCCCAACTCTGCACATGGAGAAAATGCCAGCAGAAAATGCCTTCTCTCCATCCCCTCTGCTCCCGTGGTGTGGAAAGGGGCATGGGGCACTTAATACTCACAGCTTATGGGATTTTCAGCTGAAACAGGAGGCTTCAGGAGGCACCCCTGTAACCTGAGACACCAGGACCTATTCTGGCCACCACCCCTGTTTCTTTGCGGTCACCACTCCTGTTCTCAAATCACGCAGCTATTTTACAAGCGCTGGGGGTGAAGTCTCCTCCCCCTCCGCTCCCCTGGTCTGTGAGCTGCTCTTGCTGCTCCCTGGGGAGAGGTGTGTGGAAGCTGTTGAGCTGTCTCTTTTACTATCTCTTTTTCCATTCTGTCTCTCGAGGCCTCACGATGCCCCCCAAGCGAAGGCAGAAACTGCAGCAAGAGCAGAAGGGGCAGCCAGCTGTGGCTGCACCCCTGGAGGGAGCTGCTGAGGGGGCTGTAGCCAGCAGGGAAGAGGTGCTGCTGCAGCAGGAGTATAGCCGCCTTTGCAAGGAGCTGGAGGACATGAAGGGGGCACGTGTTCAGCTTCGGGAGGAGAACGAGTTCCTGCAGCAAGAGGCCCAGCGTCTCCGTGCTGAGAGCCAGGAATTCATGTGCTATGTGGCCAAGCGGGCCCAGCGGCGCCAGGATGCCATCATCTCCCTGAATGATCAGAACAAGCAGGCCCTAGAGGAGATCCGCAGGGAGCAGCAGGAACTGCTCACCCTCTACCAGAGGAAGGAGGCAGCTCTGCGGGAACAACTGTTGCACAAAGAGGGTGAACTTCTCCGCCTCAGCAAGGAGGTTGAGGGCCTGCGGGAGATCCAGGCACTGCAGCAGGAGCAGGCTGCCCACATCAGGGAGCTGCAGGAAGAGCTGGTGGCCACCAGGCAGCAGCACACTCAGCACCTGCAGGAGACCAAAAGCCATTTCCTGCACGAAAAGGCTGCCTTTGAGCAGACGTCCCAGCAGCAGGGGCTCTGCCTGCTGCAGCAGGCACAGGAAGTGGTTGCACAGTGCATGCAGGAGCATAGCCACCAGGTGAAATGTGAGAACCAGGAGCTGCGGCAGGAGCTGCACCAGCTCATCCAGCGATCACGCACACTGCATTTACACAAGCGCCGGTTAGAGGAGCAGGCACAGCAGCTGCTGCGAGAGCGTTGCTACATGCAAGACATGGCTCGCCTGTACCACACCCACCAGGGCAAGAAGTAGGCCCCAGCTGGGACCCCAGGAACGAGCTGACAGAGAGGTGGCCACTACTCACTGCCATGACCTGCTTTTGGTATTAGAATTATTTAGCTCAGGGGTTCTCAAACTGGGGGTCAGGACCCCTCAGGGGGTCACGAGGGTATTACATGGGGGGGTCACAAGCTGTCAGTCTCTACCCCAAACCCCACTTTGCCTCCAGCATTTATAATGGTGTTAAACATATAAAAAAGTGTTTTTTATTCATAAAGGGGGTCGCACTCAGAGGCTTCCTATCTGAAAGGGGTCACCAGTACAAAAGTTTGCAAACCACTGATTTAGGTCCACATTCTTCAGTAACAGCTTTGTTAATAATCTGAGAGGGAAATGAAATTCCCAGAGGATACTGAACTGGGAGGAGCTAGAACTGGGGGGGGGGAGGTGGGATAGTTCAGTGGTTTGAGCATTGGCCTGCTAAACTCAGGGTTGTGAGTTCAATCCTTGAGGGGGCCATTTAGGGAACTGGGGTAAAAATCTGTCTGGGGATTGGTCCTGCTTTGAGCAGGGGGTTGGACTAGATACCTCCTGACATCCCTTCCAACACTGATATTCTATGAACTTCCAACAAAAAAAATCTGATCCAAAAGGCTTTAGTGAGACATTGGCAGGGAACAATTTATCCAGCTATTGCACATGGGTCTTATATGGGCACCATTGCTGAAGTATCTGAGTGCCTCACAAACATTAACCTATTTATCCACACAGCAGCACTGTGAGGTAGGGTGATGCCATTGTTGGATGTTTTTCTAAAAGATCTGCTCTAGGGGATGTTTTCTGGCTTGTGTTATACGGAGGTCAGAGTAAATGATCACAGTGGTCCCTTCTGGCCTTGGAATGTGTGAATCTATGAATCTGTTATCCTCATTGTAGAGCCTGTGGCAGAGCATGGAATTAATCCAGGTCTTCTGAGTCCCAGGCTAGCTTCTAACCCCCGTGCTATCCCTCTGCACAGAGACTGATCCTGGCCAGCTCTTGTGCTACCCTGCTGAGTCTTGTGATCTTTAGAGAGAGACAAGTCTTTTATTGGAGCAACTTCTCTTGGTGAGAAAGACAAGCTTTTGAGCCACACAGAGCTCCTCTTCAGATTATCCCCTCCCCCCCCCCCAACATACCCCTGAAGTTCCATCTCCCCAGCCAGGACCATGTCCCCAATGTATATCTGCAAGAAGAAGAGCTCTGTGTAGCTCAAAATCTTGTCTCTCTCACCAACAGAAATTGGTCCAATAAAAGATATTATCTCATCCACCTTGTCTCTCTCGTATCCTGGGACCAGCACAGCTACAATTACACTCTTGTGATCTTTGGTATTTCTGGAATCTTGTGATTAAAAAAAAGAAAACTCAGATTTTCTCCTAAATAGACAGGAAAAAAACATGTTAATACCAGAAGAACAAGGGGACATTCAGTGAAATAAAAAGGTGGAAAAATCAGAACTAACAAAAGGAAATACTTTTTCATCCAATGTGTAATTAGACTGTGGAACTCACTGCCACAGGAAGTCATTGTGTAAGGAGAAGGCCTTTTCCTGTAGCCATATTACAAGGCCTAAAGCCTAAGCTTTTGTCTGTAGCTATATTAGAAGAGCAGCAGCCATTAGCTAAGAAGCAGGAAGTCACATCCCATCTAAATGACATGAAAACACTGTAATATCCGGCTGTGAAGAAGGAGATCCTGTCCCAATAACACCACTATTGCCAGATAAAGAAACAGAGCTTAAGATGGTTAAAGAACACTTAGTATCAGAGGGGTAGCCGTGTTAGTCTGAATCTGTAAAAAGTAACAGAGGGTCCTGTAGCACCTTTGAGACTAACAGAAGTACTGGGAGCATAAGCTTTCGTGGTTAAGGACCTCACTTCTTCAGGAGCCAGAATTCTTCTTGCATCTGCAGGA